TTTTTTTTTTTCTAAATCAGCTGTTGAATCTTTGATATAGAGAATGGCTGTTTTTTCAGTCTTTGCCTGTAACACTACCACAGACCTACCGCTATCACAGAAGCTTTCTTACTGTTTTATACTATATCAGTGTACTGCAGGTACTACATGTCCTTCCATTTGATTCTGATCGGAAGAGGATGTCTGTGATTGTACGTGATCGCGCCGATCGGGTAATATTGTACACTAAAGGTGCTGACTCGATGATATTTCCAGTAATATCTGAAAGGTTAGGCTTCTTATTTTTTGTAGTATTTATTTGCTATCCACACTTTTTTCTCATTCTAGTTTCCTGACTTCACGACGTGGTGGTGCGCTTTGTCATAAAGCGGAAGAATATATATCCAGTTATGGCAGTCAAGGTCTAAGAACGCTTTGTCTATGCAAAAGATTTTTAAGTAATGAAGAGTATATGGAATGGAAAGTGGTACTGTTTTTTTGCATCTGTTGTCTGACCGTCTTTTGATAGTTCGTTTCACTTTGTAATATGATCAACTATCTTTTTTAGGACCATGAGAAAGCTGAAATGTCTTTGAGTCATAGAGAAAAACAGATTTCTCAGTCTGCATGTAATATTGAGCAGCAGATGGAACTGCTGGGAGTGACAGCAATTGAGGATCGATTGCAAGACGGTGTACCAGAGTGTATTGAAGCGCTTCGTAAAGCTGGGATTCGTGTTTGGGTGCTTACTGGTGACCGTGTTGAAACTGCAGTCAATATTGCATATGCTTCCCGGTTAGCTTGACAGCACATTAACTTTATGTTAAACAATTTTTTTCGAAAGTCGGATAATTTTTCTACTGTAAATTTGTTTTTAAAATTTTTTTGCGGCTGAGATTAATCATGTTCAGTTCAAAGTGTTCATAAATCTTATAAAATTGTCATAGTTATTATTTATGATATTTAGGCTTTTTTCGCCTTCAATGGAGTTAGTTCAACTTAGTGCCCGTAACGAAGCAGATACTGGTGAAATGTTAAGTCTTATAGAAGAGAAGATGTCTAAGGGCTTACAGGTTCAGGAAAAAACATCTTCATTACTTTGTAATTTGCCTGGAATTGAAGTTTCGAGATCTAGAAGTCTGTCCAGTCGGCCGCCTCTGCAGCGACCTAATTATGGTGTAGTAGTTAATGGTCAAACTCTTGCGAATTGCTTATTAGCACCCAACTTGCCAAAGTTCTTAAAAATTATTGAAAGGTTAGGATGCGATGTATGAATCTCTAGATAACATGTTATTTAACCTTTTTGATTAAGAAAAATTGGAATTTTTAGGAGCACTTCAGTGTTGTGCAGCAGAGCAACACCTCTGCAAAAAGCATCAGTAGTCAAATTGACAAAGCAGCACTTGAGTGGTAAAGTTTTAGCTATTGGAGATGGTGCTAACGATGTGTCGATGATTCAGTGCTCAGATGTAGGAGTTGGCATTTTGGGACAGGAGGGAATGCAGGCACGCATCTATTGCATTAAAGAATAATTAGCTTTTCTAAAAACTTGCTGAGTTCTTTCATTTTTTTCTTTGTTGTTACATGCAGGCTTTTGGCAAACTTCGCAAAGCATCTTATCAAATTTTGTTAGACATTTATGACATGGGGGATTTTAGGCTGTCATGTCATCCGACTTCGCCTTAACTCGGTTTCGTTTTTTGGAAAAACTGCTTCTTGTCCATGGGCATTGGTGTTATCATCGTCTTGCTGTCATTATTCTTTATTTTTTTTATAAAAATGCAGTAAGGTTTTCTGAATTTTTTGCTGAAGTAAATCTCTTTCAGCTTTCTAATTTGAATAGAATTTAACTTCAGCTGTTTGTATTTGTGTTGTACTGGTGTCAATTATTTAACGGGTTTAGTACTCAGGTGCCCATTGATCCCATATACCTCATGTGCTACAACTTACTGTTTACTTCAGGTAAGGTTTTATTGTGTCTATATTTCTTTCAAAAAGAGTTTATCTTTTATGATCAATATTCGTACCGTTTCTAGTTCCACCTTTACTTTATGGTATGACGGAGCAAGATGCTCCACCAGATGTACTTTTAAACTATCCAATCCTCTATGAACAAGGGCGCTGCTCCGAGGTCAGTACTCTCATCTTTTACGACTTGGAATAGTTGTTTCTCTTATTCATTTAAAAAGTAGTTTTTAATGCAACTAAATTATCTTTAGTTATATCGGTGGTACTCCTTTTGGTTAAATATGCTTGATGCACTGTGGCAAAGTGCTGCTGTTTATTTCACTGCTCACTTTGTAAGTTATTTATTTCCGAATATGAAAATCAATGAAAAAAATTAGTTTAATTTCTTGAACCGCTTAAAAACATTTCGGTTTAGGCATACAGTAACACCGAGTGTGATATGTGGACTTTTGGCTTTGTGCTCTGTTCACAATTAGTTATCATAAATAGCGTTCACCTCGCGGTTTTTGTAAATCTTTGGGTTTGTCGTTTTCACCTTTTCCTCTGGCGTTATAGAATAGATAAAAAATTACTTAACAATTTTCCAGCTTTATTGTTTCTTTTATACAGTACCGGATTGTTTTTTTTAATGTGGGACAGCTACCAATATAATGATTTTCAGACAGCGCCTCTATTTCTTTCCATAGTTCTTTCGTTTGTGATGTATATAGTCTTTGCCTTTATCTATAATATAATCGTGTCGCCGTCCTTTGACGTAAAGGATCCTCCTTTGATGGTAGCGCTGTATGCAGTTTGTAACATACATTTCTGGCTTATTATTGTGCTTTCTTC